ACTGTAATAAAAATGATGTTATATTGACTTATGAACATAACTATCAAGTTGCTGAGGAAGTCTCAAATAGAGACGAAACGTTCAACGGATAAATATAGTGTTCATCTTAATTAAACCCGTCCAAAAAACAACCTCCCTAAGAGTAAACTTAGTAATAATTTAAATATTACTTTTTAGAAGATATTTGACATCATCGTTTTTTCACAAAAAAGAAATCATCAAAATTTGGTTGAATATATTTTGAGATGTTGTATTATTTTTCATTAAATTTAATATAATATAAATAATTTTTATTATTTTTTATTAAAGTAAATAATTCAAAACGTCAGTGTCAAGTATCAAATGAAAAAGTATACCTTCGCCATTTATTCTTCCACACTATTGTAAATGCACATAAATGAAATTTAAATGTTTGATTTTATTTAAACCTATATTATTTTCTTTCTTTTTTTCAATTACTAAATTAAAAATTATTGAAATGTAAAATTAAAATTGCATAATACAGCTATATACAAATAAAAATAGAGTTTACTTTCAAATTATTGATTAATATTGTTTTTTTTTTTTTTTTTCAAATAATTGTTAAACAGTTTCCCAAAATAAGGTTCCAATTATTTTGTTGTCGTTCCCATATTTTTCTGACTATTCCCGAATACAACATCTATATTATTCTTCTTTTATTTTCTATAAAGAATATTCGAAAGGTTTCGGTACGATGGAACATTAGTTCAGGGGTGGTCAACTTTTCTGTAAATCAGATCTAATTTTATCTTAAAAATGTATAGCGATCGATTTTTTTTAAACTCTAGTGAATATTCGTTGTAGTTTAAAAAAAAAAGAAAAAAACTAGATATTTAACCGTCTGGAAAAAAAACGGGAGTAAACATTTCCCAACATTGATCTCGTGTTTCTGATGTCGTCGGATCGATTCCTCGAGGGGGAAAATTCTTTTTTTTCAGCTCTTTTTTATCTTTTGTTTTCGTTATTGTAAAATATGTTGAAATTTAATGTATTTTACATTTAATTTATATTGTAGCTATTACACATACTATTACAGCTAAAGGAATACGTATCTATGTGAAATTTCAATCCACGTTTTTTAACACACGACTGAATATATACACCAAGTTTAAAGGCACAATGAATATTCTCATAGACTACTTGACTACCCCCTGATAAAATATGGATTTAAAAATATGTTTGTTCTCGCCAACACATGGGGGTGTGCAGAGAGCTACCTTCAAAGTTTCAGTTTGTTTTCAGAGGATATATCGTAGTAGTGACCTAAGCAACAAAAGATTTTCTTCATAAAATTAAGGGAAGATTGTTTTCCTTGTATAATATAATAATCTGAATCAATCACGTCATAATTCTTCAAAGGAAATGAAGAAATGTAAATATAAACACAGGTAAATATAATATATATTAATATATATGAGTTTCAAAGGGAAAATTGAAGACAGTTAATAAATTTTGATGAACAAATTTATTTGATCTTGTTGAACGTTTCGTCC